TAATTCTTCCCTGCGGCCTTTGCTTTTAGCTCCTCGAATTTCTTTTGCTCTTCCTTTTGTTTTTGCTTGAAAATCTATGTTCCTTGTCCTGTCCTTGGTCTACTTCTTGGGCTTTGTTGGGGCCTTCTTGTCACCCTTTCAGGATCTCCCACCCTGTGGTGGTTATGTTTGTGTGTCAGCTTGGCTGAACCTGGTTGAGTGGCTGGGCAGCTGGTGGTAGTTACTACCCATGATGAGACCGGCAATCAACTCCATGGTGAGATCTACCACAAGCAGCTGAGTAGCTGCTTGGGTATGTGGTCTGCTTCCCATATATAAGAAGCAGCTTTGGGAATGGTCTCAAGGTTATAGCATGCTTGGATCCTGCATGTAGCAGTGTCATTGTTCAGCAGCCTGCCATGCTCTGCTGACCTGGGGACTTAAAATGGACTTGAATTAATGGCCTGCCATGTGGTTTGGTAACATCGGGACTGTGCCTTTTTTACTTGTCAACCTTGGGCTTGGCAGCCTCAGCAGCCAGAGGCTGTCTGAGTGAAGAAAAGCCTCTAGCTTTGGTGGGCCAGGAGCGGGAGGCAGAGCTGGACCCCAAGGTTGAGGGGCTTTCACCCAGCCCCTAGAGCCTGGCACTTTGAACTTGGACTTAAACCCTCCAAACTGTAAGAGAATAAACTGTTTGTTCAAGCCATCCCATTTGTGGTATATTCTTGTCAGAGCAGCACTAGGTAACTAGAACACACCCCTTCCCCAGACCTGCCACCGAAAGCAGAGTTCAACCCATACCTTCTTACTCTAAATCTAGTCTTAGTCCTCTTTGCATTATATCACAATTACTTACATTGCTTGCTCCTTAAAACAACTTGAGACAAAACATTTAATTATAGTGACATTTAGTATGTTTTCCTTTTTGCCCATTATACTATATTTTGAGCTCTACTTTCATTTGGCTGCTAACCAATAGGTCAGTGGTTTGAACTCACCAAATGCTCTGTGGAAGAAAGATGAGGTGGTCTGCTTCTTTAAAGATTTACAGCCTTATATGGCTCCTAGTTGCCCTTCAGGTCTGGATAGAACCCACGACTGTGGCTTCCAGCCAAACAATAGACAGGCATATGAGTTGAACATTTACCTGAGGTAGATACACTCCTTGGAGAGAACAATCATGGGAGAAAGAAGGGCTGCTTATGCACAGGGAGACAGCTCAGGGGGCAGGAGTGCATGGAGGGATGGACACTGGGAAGAGGTAACTATTGGGAGGAAGTAGGAGGGGAGATGTTGCATTGTGGTAAATTGTGGTCAATGTCATGAGACAAGGTGTATGTGAACTGCTGTATGGAAAGTGTATTTGCTCTGTAAGTTTTCACCCAAATCACACACACACACACACACACAGAAGATTTACAGCCTTAGAAATCCAGTGAGGATCGCATTTGGCTTCTGAGTGTTTTTTCATAGAAATCATATTCAAGCCTTTTTCTATTTTATTTTGCCCTCATATCAATACTCATTGTCTTTTTCTTTCTTTCTTTTAAACAGTTGGGAATGCCTATATCATCTGACATGTTGTTTCCTGTAGTTTAATGATTTTGATCATGATTCTGAGTTGAATCAATAATATTACACATGTTGTTGTTGTTGTTATGTGCCGTCGAGTCGGCCCCAACTCATAGCGACCCCTCCTTGGGTTTCCGAGGCAGTATCACTACAGAAGTAGGATTGCCCAACCTCCCTTCCGAGAAGTGGCTGGTGGGTTTGAACCGCCAGCCTTCTGGTTAGCAGTCTAGTGCTTTAGCCGCTATGCTACCAGAGCTCCTGTGCAAGGTAATTTTACATACTTTAAAATTTTAAAAAATAGATAGTAATTCATTTAAACCTAAAAAAATGATTTAAAACTTACAGAAAAGTGGCAAGAAATAGTACAAACAGTTCACATATACCTTTCAGTTGTATTTACCTGTTGTTGACATTTTGCTTCATTTGCTTTCCTATTCTTTCTCTGTATATATATATATTTATATTTTTTCTGATTCATTTGAGAGTAAGTTGCAGACATTTTACTTCTTTACCCCTAAATACTTAACTATTTTCTAAGAAGTTCTTTTTTTAAAAAATAAAACAGGTTGTTAGAGTCACATACTAAACAAACAAACAAACAAAAACAACCAAACTCGCTGCCATCCAGTCTATTCTAACTTATAGTGACCCCCATAGAATTTCCAAGGCTGTAATCTTTATGGAAGCAAACTGCCTCATCTTTCTTCCACAGAGTGGCTGGTGGGTTCAAATCACTGATCTTTTGGTTCGCAGCCAAATACTTCAACCACTGCACCACCAGAGTTCCTTAGAGTCACGTAATTTATTTTCTGTGTATCTTCTGTGTATGACAGTAGGGGAGGATTATGTTGTTTGCTGTTGGACCTACAAGTTAGTGTGATATTTTCAATTTGTAATCAGTGTTTCTCTGGACCATTTGTATGGACTCTCTTGGATTTGTTCTTTTTTGCTGCTGTCTCTTGGCTTTCTTATTTTTGGCTCTCACCTCTAGTTTCTTACACACCTTGAACACGTGTGAGAGCTCATTGCTTTACCATTTCATAATGTTGCCATTTAGAGCCTTTTTCTGCTATTGCCCTTTTCCCCTTCTGCTCCCTGAATCCAGGGGTGTGTGTCATAGGGCAAACTGAGTTTCAGTAGACTGCTAATGTGGATACTGGAAATTCCACCTATCTGCCAAGTCCTTTTGTCTGTGAGCAAAGTGGAGACTTGTTACTTGTCAGTCCTTTGCTGCAGTTGTGCTGAAGGAATGCTGCAGGGCTTGTTGGAAGTTGCTTAGCAGCTTCTAGTGGGGTGTGTTTGAGGGTGTGTGTAGAGAGTGGAGGGTCTTGTAGTCTGTGTGCAAAACCTGGATTCTTTCCTGGTGCCGTGTTAATCATCAGACAGTATTTATTGAGGGCTTCCTTTATGACTAGCATTGTGATAAGAGCTTTTGGAGTAATATAATACATAATTAAGTTACACATAATAGTCAAACAATGCCACTTAACAGCTTTGAATTGGGCAAGATAATGTCTTTAAGCTTCACTTTACTGTTCTCTAAAATGGGGCCAATAGTACCTATCTGATAGAGCTGTTAAGAAGATTAAATAAAGTATATAAGTATAATGTTAGCATAAAACTTATGCTAGTTAGTATTTCACTTCAAATAGTCATATTTGGGATATATGACTGACACCACATAAAACAAATAGAGAATAGTAAAAACAAATAGGTAATAATATGGCAGTATAGTATGTAATCAAATTCTTTAATTGTGACATGCAGATTATAAATAGTCTGGGAATCTGGAGAAGGGAAAGAACAGTCTTGTGCAACCCTTTAATATTCCTGTGCCTCACATTTTCCACTGGACACACTGGAGATAATGCTAGGTTACCTCCCAGAGAATAATTAAGATGTTAGAGCATTTTTGTTTTTTTAGGTGGTGTATATGATGCAGGAAATGAAGAGAGAAGTTTGGGGAAACTATTAGAAACTGATTTCAATACTTGTATTCTTAAATTTTTTTTTAATGTAGCCATCGTAGCTTTCCAGAAAAACAATATGAGAGAATAGAAGCATTTCCTTCCAGGGCAGGTGCTTGGTTTGGTATTACTTCCTGTTGCTTCTCTGGCATTTTAATTAATTGAAAACTAAAGTTGGTTAGTGGATGGCTTTTGATTGTGAACCCCTCTAATATAAAATGAGGAGTATATGATTTGTAACTCAAATTATTTCTTTGGTCCTCTGGAAAGAAACAGACAAACAGCGGGAGAAGATTTAGTTCTCTGGGACTGGATGTTAAGGACACTGGTTTACTCAGCATGAGTGTTTCTCTGACATGGGATATCTTTACTCAGAACAGAGTCCAGACTGATAACTTGGTCCTCCCACCTTTAAACAGGCTTTCATAACATCCAAAGAAATTGTTTCAATTCCTGATTTGGTGTGTGCTTACTTGGTGATTTTTCGGTAAGCCTGATTCTGGAAAGTTTATATTTGATTTTTATTACCTTCAAGACCATTTCAGAGAGTTTTTCCCATGAAAGTATAGAGTTTTTTAGTTTTTTGCCTCCTTGATTTGAGTAGTTCTCTTTTGTTGTTGTTGTTGTTAGTTTTATTGTGTGTGTGGCATTGTTTGCCAAGTTTCAAGTTTATAGTGAGAGGTGAGGCAACGTTGATCTTGGCAGAACAGCACAAAGCCAGTAGAGTCATTATATGACGTAAGCTTTTGATTTTTTTTCCTCCTTTCTGTTAAAGCTCTCTGGCACAGCTGGCTATTCTAGTCACAGAAGAAAAGACAGAGACTTTCTGAAGATCTGGATGGGATAATAGAAGTTTGGGGGCACATTAAAAAATAGCAGCAACGACATCAACAAAAACTCCATATAATTCAAACAAGCTTCTTGGCCTTGTGGAATCTTTGTCAGTTGCTCAGACTTTGAGTTACCTTTTTACTTGAGAGGATGATAGGACAAGGCAGTAGAGGGAGAGGAGGGTTATGTTGGATTCCTGCTTATCTGTCTGCCTCTCCTTCTAGTTGGAAAAGTCTTCAGTCCACAAGAGGCACCAAAAACAAGCCTAAGGAACACAACTTACTGTGATCCTGGATGCTGTTGAAGTCGATTATTACAGCTACTTCACTAGGAATTTATGGAGGCAGTTCAAGAAAAATAGAAGGAAGCAATACTTAAGGATTTCTCTGTTTGCATTAGTCCTGTACTGTTTACGTTTTGGGCATCATTTGGAGTAAATGAAAGACCGCTCTGTCATCTGGATCTAAGAGAATACCTGAGTCCTTGAAGCTATATATGTGATAATTGGAAGGCTGTAAACTCAAAAATCGTTCAACATAAACTCATTAAATTCTGAATTCTCTTTCTATTGAGGACTTCAGCAGAAAAAAAAACTTCCTGCCAAAACAATACAAAACCTTCTTTGTGTTTTTAGGCTAAATGTGAACAATAATGTCTTGGAAGAGAAATTATTTTTCAGGGAGCCGTGGTAGTGTCCAAGGGATGTTTGCGCCTCGAAGTTCAACTTCTATAGCCCCCAGCAAAGGCCTCAGCAATGAGCCAGGACAAAATAGCTGCTTCCTCAATAGTGCCCTGCAGGTAAGGTAATTTTTTTCTTTTTGATCAACTTTGACTTTTAGTTCTTAATGATATATTTCTGCTAACTGTTCTAAATATAATGATTGACAATTCCTGAGGTCAGCAGCTTGAAATCTTTTTTTTTTAACCTATTTGTGTGATCTTAGGCAAGTCACTTTATCTCTTTGAATCTCAATTACCTTGTCTGTAAAAAGAAGGTAAATAATAATAATAGAAATATAATAGCTGTAATTACTACTTATCTGCCTAAAGGGAGGGACCTGCACCAGGTAATCTTTCTACCTGTTTATTGACTATTTTCCTGAACAATCTCCACTATATCTTTTTTTTTTCCCCTTCTGAGATTTAAGTGTCTTATCACTCTAGTTGTTTTTCTTTAGTAAAATTCTTTCCACCAACTCAAGATTATCAGATTTTTTTTTTTCTTGTAATACCCAGGCTCTTAGCACAAACATTGAATGGAGTCTAGCCTTTGGCTGTCCAGTTCCTCTCTTCTTCCTGAACTTTCCTGTATTGGTTCAGGATCAGCACCTAGTCAGATGAACCTGAGAAGAGCTAGTGGAAAATGAAGGTGATTAGTGGTAGAATTTTCACTTTCCCTGTGGGAGACCCGGGTTTAATTCCTGACCAATGGACTTCAAGCACAGACTCCACTTGGTTCTCAGTGGAAGCCAGCATGTTGTTGTGATGCTGAACAGGTTTCAGCAGAGCTTCTAGACTAAGGCAGAATAGGAAGAGAGGCCTGGCAATCTCCTTTGAAAACCAGCCAATGAAAACCTTATGGATCACACCAGTCTGATTCCATTGTGCATGAGGTTACCATGAGTCAGAAGTTATTATCTACCCCAGATTTTCCTTTTAGGTATTCCTTGCCACCTCAGTAATCTCAGAATCCTAAAGCTAGAGTCTGTCTTTTTGCTGTGCCTTGTTAGGTGCATAGAATGTTAAGCTCATCCTCCTTTGGCTTCACCTTCAAGTAATTACTTTTCCTTCTTTTCTGCTTTTCAGAGTAAAAGTAAATGAAATTTGCCGTCAAGAGAATAATTATATTTGAAGTACTAGCTTTCTTCTGAGATGGAATGAGAAAATAGGTTACTGTGACTGAAGAAAAAAAAAGATAATGTATTTGTTTTAAAGAGTACTGGACTTAGGGATCAAGAGGCCTAGATTCTAGTTTTAGCCCTTATTTAGACTAGTCTTGTAACCTTGTACAAGTGATAGTGTCTCATTTTCCTCATTCATAATGCAAGGATCTCATCAAGCTTTTCTGTCTAATAAAAGTTTCATACTCTGTCTTACTTTTCTAGTTTTTGCTTAAAAGTATTAAAACTTCTAATTGCTACCACAAATGTCATGCAGTTGAGATGGAGTTGATTAGGTTTATTCCAGATGATACATAATAGGTTTTTGAGTGACTCTGCATGTACTGATAATTATTTTTGCAATTTAGAAATAAACAAAAAGGGTATTGATATAAATGTGTATGTTTACCTCCTTGGTCATTATCCTGTTTTTGCAGTTCTATTTATTTCTGTATTTTCTAACTATCTTTTCAATACAATGTAATTCCTTCTGTATTTTCTAACTATCATTTCAATACAATGCAATTGTGTGTATTTCTTCTCTTCTAAATTCCATTGCCATATGCAACACATCACACACACATACCTTTCCATAGCCTCACTTAAGGATTGAGGCATTGACAGTTTTGCAGTACCTCTTATAATCAAGTTGAAAATAAGTGTTGCTGTGATCTAATGTTATAAGTTTTAATATAAACGCTGTGGTTGCCACAGTTGAATCTATTACATTCATTATAAAAAGATGTTATTTACTTGGGAAGATAGCATGTTTCAAGGAACTTTTTAGAATGTATGCCTTGAGATATTTAAGTAAGAAGTTCCAGAGATTTACTGTGACCTAGGGCCCAGAGATAGTACTTTTTAATATTTGTTGTTGTTGTTGTTATGTGCCGTTGAGTCAGCCCTGACTCATAGCGACCCCTCCTTGGGTTTCCGAGGCAGTATCACTACGGAAGTAGGATATATGATGCCATTAAATGTTTCCCAGGAAAGAGGAGCTTCCAAAGGCATTGTGTTTTGTTTACACCATTTTTTTTTTCCAACTTAACTTCATACTTTATTCAAATTTCCTTCGTTTTTACCTCATGCCTTTTGCTGTTCCAGAATCCCTTATTACATTTACTTATCATATCTTCTTGACTATGACAGTTTCTCAGAATTTTCTCATTTTTGATGACCTGTGACAGTTTTTAGGAGTATTGGTGAAGCATTTTGTAGGATGCCCCTCTATTTAAATTCATTTAATGTTTTTCTCATGACTGGACTAAAGTTATAGTTTTTTTTTTTTTTTTACAAAGACCACAGAAGAAAAACTGCCATTCTCATCACCTCATATTCCCAAAATATATATTCTTAGTATGATTTATTACTGTTTATATCATCATTTTTTAAAAGCTATTAAGGAAGTTATATCAGAAAGGTCCAAAAATTGAGAAATATAGCAAAGACAAAATTCCATATTACAATTCAAATTTCTAATATAAGTTTTAAAATTTCCTCATTTTTCTTAGATAGGCCATTTGAACAAACCTTTATTCTTCAGATTTGAAGCCAGAGATTTCCTCCTCAGGATCGCACTTCATATATGTCATACCGTATTTTTTTTGTGTGATCTTTATTTCATGTACAAATTAATATACTTTTCAGAGTATGGTTATTTATGCCTCTTGTTAGATACCTCACCTTTATTGATACTAGAATGAGTTTCTCTTGGGAATAAAGATACCTTCTACAATCAGTGCCTATGTTTGGTTGAACTGTTGAATTTAAAATTAAATGGTAGTTCCTTATAGAGTTATGCAATATTTTCCCTTTGTCACCAGGTTTTGTGGCACTTGGACATCTTCCGACGTAGCTTTAGGCAACTCACAACTCACAAGTGTATGGGAGATTCCTGTATCTTTTGTGCTCTCAAGGTAATTTCTTCTTTTTTTTTTTTTTTCTTCTCATTACTATTAGGTTGCCAAATGATTAATATTTGGTTAGTTTGGTTAAAGAATTTGTTGAATTATCTTCTTGTGATGTAGTGCAAAAGATGGATATAATAAGTTTTGCTTGCTTCAAAGAATTAGTGTATGGCTCTGATAGTCTGTTTTTTTCTGAACATTTTTTGCTCACATAGCTCTATTTAATGTGATAGGATACCATTCAAATGTTTTTCTACTTTGAGTGTTTATCTGAAAGCTAATTAATTCTAAATTTTCATTTGAAAGAATAAATGGCTAAATATTTTTAATGGGATTAACTATTGTTTGTTAAAGCTAAGTATAGCAACAACTTATTCCTATTGAGATATGCCAACACTGAAATTTTTCCATAATGTTTTCCATTACGATTCTTAATAGATTTTTTTGTACCAATTCTCTACTCCATGCATTGTCTGGCTCCAAGTTTTTTTCTATAGAAAATGAAATTGGAGATTCATTGAGAATAAAAAAAATGGCCTTAAATGAGATTATTTCTGACTCAGAGATTTTTAGATATGCTGCTAAAGAGGAAGAATTAAGATATATAAAGGTCCAATTTTTAATTACTTTGTCTGCTTTTTCAACATAATAACATCCCTGTGTTTTCTTGGTCCATATGTGCAATGGATTATTTGTGGTTGGCTAACTCTACTTGAGTTCTTGGTGGGTTTCCAGAGACATTTTTTGTCTTATGAGGTCTGAATTCTTAGTTTGTCACCGAGATGCTTAGAAGTATATGTTTCATTTGGTTGATTTTACATCTTAGAGAAAGAATTGTGGACAGAAAATCTAGGAGAATTTCCCAGTTGGTTACTTGGAATACCTAATTCAAAAATTTTTTTTTGGCCAGTATCACTTTGGTATTTTAGGTTCATGATAGGCAAGCATCTTTAGGAAGAGATACCGCCTGAGTACTCTGACTTTTTTTTTCCACTTGGGTCACAAACAACCACCTTTTTTCTCTTCCGTTTGTTTGGAACCATTGTAACTTTTAGCATAGAATATAAATTATTGATCAATTGTGGAGTTTAAATGTTAAATTTTAATAAAACCAAATCTTTTACAAATTGATTGTAATATTTCTGGCTATGTCCACTGAGACAGAAGTCCATCTAAAAGAGCATTTGGCCTGATTTTCTAAAAGGTACATTGACATTAAATATCTAATTTTAGATAAACAAGAAACACAGTGGCCCTTTGGTCAACTAGTCCATAGAACGTCTGAGTCATGGCATTAAAACAAAAATACCAAAGCAATATACTTGATAGGGAGATGTGAATCCTGGAGAAATCCCTGGCAGAAGAATCTAAAACTGAAATCTCTTATCTGTACCAGGAACGGAAGATAGAACTGAGAAGACCCCTAACATGCCTTGTCAGAACTGTGCCATACACTTTATTGATCTAGGTGGACTCTGGAGAACTGGCCAGAGAGGTGAAGAAAAGCAGTGACTACACTTTATAATACATCCTCTGAATACCCAAATACAGAAGGGAAGTTGTTTTTTACCCTATTAGGGCAGAAGAAATCTTTTGGGACCATTTCAGAGAAGCAATTGCTTGTGATGGATAGGTCAATGAGCTTTGGGCATCAAAGATTTTATTTTGTGTCTTCATAGCTCTGGAGATGTGTTGGAATTCTAGCATTCTCTTCATGCTCTGTTGGGAGTATATTAAAGTTTCTTTCTTTTTTTTTTTTTCTCCCAACCTAAAGTGCTTGTTAATTCCTCAAAGCTAAATAAATGTTCAGTAATTAGTCTGTGGTTTATACATTCTTCAGGTTTTAGATAGCATTGTTTGCATTCTTTTAAATTATCATAATTTAAAAATTATAAATAGACTTGTAATGCAGATGGATTAATCTGAAAGTATGGGTGAGCTGAAGTTGGTTCTAATAGTTGAGAAATTTAACTGCTGGAGTAGCTATAGTTTCCAATAGATATTCATCCAAGCTGGAGGGCTTAATTTTCTGAGAGAAGGGAAAGGATGATAAATGTATGAAGAAGGATCTGGGATGGACTGTTAACACCTGGGTCCTCCTGTGGGATTTTTTTTGTCCCTCATTTGAAAAATATTTTTTATAGAACATGAAAAGAATACAATTCAGCAGTGAACTTGGCTCTAGTCAGTATAATAAGACAAGGAAAACAAAGGAAAGGCATAAATTGGAAAGGGAAAAATAAAGTTATCATCATTTGCAGATGATGTGACTGGGTATTAAAAATATCCCAAAGAATCTACAGATAAATCTGTAGAATCAGTGAGAGCATTTAGCATGTTATTGCTTGCAAGATCAATACATTCAATTGCATTTCTATGCATTAGTAACAAATAGAAAATGCAATTTAAAAAGATAGTTTTTGTATGATCAACAAAGTATATAAGGTGGATATGAATAAATCTAACAAAAAGTATATAAAACATTTATGTAAAACCCCCACAGAAATGTAGTATAATGAATAAGCACCTTTGTAACAATCATTCATGTCAAAACAGACTGTTGCCAACACTATAAACATCTCCCCTCCCTTCTTTCTCAGTCACACCTCTTCCCTTTCCCCAGGGGTAACCATTATCTTAATTTTTGTGGTAATCATTTTCTTGTTTTATTTGATAGTTTTACTACTTAAGTATTCATTTTAAAACAGTTCAATTTAATATTTACCTGTTTTGAACTTTATTACAAATGGAATCATCCTGTGTACATTTTTTTGTGCATCTCTGTTAGCTCAGTAATATGTTTCTAAGATCATCTATATTGTTGTGCGCAGGTCTAGTTTGTTCATTTTCTGTACTATATGGTATTTCATTGTGTGAATTAACCACTGTTTGTTTATCCATTTTATTGCCAGTAGTTATTTGGGTTGTTTCCAGTTTTTAATTTTTATGAATAATGCTGCTAAAATATTCTTGTACATGTTTCCTGTACATCTGTGTATACATTTCTCTTGCATACTTGCCCAGGAGTGGTATTGCTGGATCATAGGATATGTCTCTCTTCAACTTTACTAGCTAATGCCAACTATTTTCCTAGTGTTTCTTAATTTTTTCACATATGGTGGTACTAGTACTAATATAACTCTAGGAGCTCTGGTAGCATAGTGGCTAAAGCACTTGACTGCTAACCAGAAGGCTGGCGGTTCAAACCCACCAGCCACTCCTCGGAAGGAAGGTTGGGCAATCCTACTTCCGTAGTGATACTGCCTCGGAAACCCAAGGAGGGGTCGCTATGAGTCGGGGCCGACTCTACGGCACATAACAACAACAACAATATAACTCTAGGCAATAAGTTTTTCCTAGAAGCTGAGAAAAGTCAGTTCTCCAATTTATATGACAGAGAAAACTGAGGAATAGACGAGACGTTTGTGAAGAACAACAACAAAATGAGCAACTAGCCTTATTTATCAGTCAGGGTGGGCTAGGTTAATGCTGTGGTAACAAATAACCCTTAAATCTCAGTGGTAAATATACTAAAGATTTATTTCTTATTTATATTACTTATCCACTGCCCCTTGGTAGGGAGACAGTACTGATTATAGTCACTTAGGAACTCAGATGCCAAAGCTGCAATGGTGTTAAATATTACTAGTTGCTAAGCCAAAGGGAGGAAGAGTTCTGGAGAGTTTTGCACAGGCAATTAAATGCTCAGTTAAGAAGTGCCATGAGTCCCTTCTGTTCACGATCGATTGGCTGTAGCTAATCATATGGCCCAGTTGAACCACAACAGGGCCAGGGAGTACAATCAGATCATGTGCTTAGGAAGGGTAAAGAATCAGAAATATTTGGCAAACTGTACTAATGATGACCGTAATTTACTATCTCCCAAGACTGGTGGCGTAACGCCTAAGGCATTTGACCGCTAACCAGAAAGCTGTTGGTTCAAACCCACCAGCCACTCCTCAGAAGGAAGCTTGGGCAATCTACTTCTGTAGTGATACCGCCTTGGAAACCAAGGAGGGATCACTATGAGTCAGTCAGATCCGACTGGACGTCAGTGAGTTGAGTTTTTTTTTTTTTCAAAGACTGATAAAACTATAGTAATGAAGACAATGTAGAATTGACACAGAATAATAAATAAACCAATACAACAAAATCAAGAACCCGGAAATAGACATATGGAAACTTACTACTTGCCTTGTGAATCAATGGGAAAGTATAGATTTCAATAAATAATACTTAGACAATTGGTTGTTGTTATGTGCCATCAAGTTAGTTGGCCACGACTCATAGCGACCTCTCCTTGGGTTTCTGAGGCAGTATCACTACAGAAGGAGGAATGCCCAACCTTCCTTCCGAGGAATGGCTGGTGGGTTTGAACCACCAGCCTTCTGGTTAGCAGTCAGGTGCCTTAGGCACTGTGATACCAGAGCTCCTAGACAATTGGTTATCCATACAGATTAAAAAATTGAAATTGGGTCCTTATCTCATATTACACCAAAACAAGAATTTCAGATGAATTTAAGGACTAAAATGTGAAAGGTAAAATTTAAAAAAGGTTAATGTACAAAATGTGCAGAACATAAAGTTAAAAAATTGATACATTTTACTGTAAAAAATTCAAGAACTTCTGTTCATCAAAAGACTTCTGTGAAGAGAACTAATGTAACTTGCTAACAGCTAGTACTGGCTTGCAAGTCATGTGCATGAGCCGTCTTGTAAATGGATCATCTAGCCCCAGTCAGGTCTGCAAATGACTGCAGACCCAGCTGATATCTTGACCTCTTGATGACACCACTCCCAAATTCTTGGCCCACAGAGACTGTGTGAGATAATAAATGTTTATAGTTGTTTAAAACAAAAAGATTCCACAAAGAGTGAAGGGACAAAGTTACAAACTAGGACAGAGTGTACACAACTCACAGAACCAACAAAGGATCAGTATCTAGATAGATAAGAACTTCTATAAAGAATAGGGAGCTCTGGTAGCATAGTGGCTAAGACACTTGCCT